ATCAGATTTATAATTAAAGCACTCAATAATTACTAGCAGTTTCTTTAAAAAAAACCCTTCTATTTATTTTTATATGTTAGCAGTTTTATATTTAATGAGCTAGGGAAAGCTCTCTGAAAATAATTGTCTAGCTGGTTTGCCATACTTGAGATTTGATTGTTTTAGCATTGTTGTTGGTATAATTTGAAGGGCAACAAATCAGCTTGAATTTTAGAAAATGTATTGAACATCCTTTATCAGGCTCCCTGTTAAGTGTAGGGGTCCAGAATGGATTTTCCCAGAATGTGCCACCCTGGCATGTAGATTATTTCAAGCTGGAAACAATTAAAGCCCAACGAACTCAAGAAGAGATTTTCCCCTCTCCCTTATCTGCCTAAGAAATTCAGGTAGAAAAATCTGCTTTAGGAAGGGAGCCTTGAATATTCACCTTAGCATATGTGAATTAAATGTGACAGACAGGGAGAAACCAAGCAAAGTCTGTTTGTTACATTCCCCTCTGTTCCCATTGTTTCTAGGTGGCCAAGCAAGAATTTACCACATTTACACTTTCTCATTTACCTGTGAATTGCCTGCTTTTCCTTTGAAATTCCAGAGTCCTGCCTCCCCTTCTTTAGTCCAGAATGGTAAACGTCAACTGGCCAATGTGTCCTAGGGTCTCTCTCATACTCTTATGGAACCCCCCTATGTACATACATAATAAATTTGGTAATTTTCTTTTGTTAATCTGTCCCATGTTAGTTTATTAGACCAGCCAGAAGAACTTAGAAGGGTTCTAAAAGAAAAATTATTTCTCCAATCCTATATAAACAAGTCACACTTCCATTTCCTCCCTCCCCCCAACAAACAAAAGTCTTCTGTAATATAAATCAGGTATTTAATTCCTATGTTATTGTTCATATTTCCCATTTGAAAGGTTATCTGAACTTAACAACATATTTATGTAGCTAAATGTTGAGGCTGAGTAGTTCTGATTGAAACTGAATCTCTAGTTTCAATTTCACAAGTATGAGCTCATTTTAAATACTTCCTCATAAAGTAAAGGCTGTCAACATTCTTTCTTTGTTTCTGGATGCACAGAACTAAATCTGTTAGCATCCTGATATTGTTAAGTCTCAGAACGTGACTACCAGAAAGTCTGAGTCACACCACCAGATGCTAGAACCTGGGGAGCGTAAAGAAAAAATTCCTGAATAAATAATAAGTCGTTAATAAAGTCTTCCTTACAATTTTAACAAATCTCAGAATAAATTTTTCTTAAAAAAATTTTTTTTAAATTGGATAACAGTGTGTTTTTTCCAGGACCCATCAGCTCCAAGTCAAGTCGTTCTTCAATCTGGTTGTGGAGGGCTCAGCTCAGCTCCAAGTCCAGTTGCCTTTGTCAATCTAGTTGTGGGTGGAGGGTGGTGGTGGGGGTGGTGGAAGAGGGGCTCATTCCACCATCCCAGGTGGGAATCAAACCAGCAACCTTGTTGTTCAGAGCACACATGCTAACCAACTGAGCCACCCGGCCACCCAGAATAAATTTTTCTTTAACACCACTTAGAGATTATTGATGTGCATGGCCTGTCAGGTTTTTGTTGAGATTGGCTACACCATAAAGTATTTTTCATAAAGCAATTTAAATCACTAAGAAATATAATTTAGGGCCGGCCGAGTGGCGCGATGGTTAAGAACTGGCTTGGGATGCCAGAGGGCCCTGGTTCGGATCCCACATATGAGGGCCAGTGACACTGCCCTCCACAGCTAAGATGCTGAACAACAGCTCAACCTGGAGCTGGGCTGCCGTGAGTTGCCGGCGACGGTGTAGGCTGCAGCCCCTGTGGCAGTGGGTTGCCATGGGCTACCGTGTGTAGCCAGCAGCCAGCGTGAGCGGCCAGCAGCCGCAGTGAGCGGCCGTCCAGAAGCCGGCGACTGATCTGCCTCACCCAGGAAGAGCACAATGATGGTGCCAACTTGGGCCAGTGAAGCAATGTCCTCCACAACTAGACGGAAGAACAAAAATGACAGCAACTTGTCTGTTCCCCTTACCCCAATTCCCCAACACTGTTCCCATCCCCCCAATTCCCCAATAAAAATCTGAAAAAAAAAAAGAAATATAATTTATACATACATTGCAATAGGCATAAATGGAACGCATGAACTATTTCATAAATTTGTGGGCATTTATTCCTCAAGCCTACAACCAAAATACCTCCATGTTTTTGCATTTGTTTTGATTATCCTTGGATTAAATCAGCCTGATATGTTCAAAGCTGTCCAAATGTTACTTTGAATATTATTTTAACAAAATTATTCCACACAGGGTATGTGAAATTATAAGGGAATTCCAAGTATCTTTGCAAATCAAATTGAAGAAATGTTATAACTTTTTTCTACACCAAAATCATTGCTGGGAAGTTGACTTTTTTTTTTTTTCTTAGAACTATGGAGGAGATATAAAATTAAAAACTTACATGTTGCTTCTTTTGTGTAACTTTTCCCACGATCTGTATTACCTCAGATTACTAAGAAGAATTGAATGAAACACTTTTTAAATGATGATCTCTAGAGTAACTTGATGTGAAATAAAATTAATTCCCTACGGGATTAAAACATAAACTAAAAAGAAAGTCCATTTTCTACTTGTTCTCAAACTTTCTAGTAGAAGAATCCATGACTCAAAATAATCAGATGGCCAGTTTGTTTAGATGTTTCTTTAGATAATGAGATAGGAAAGTTATAGGCAGTCAGGGAAATTGTCACGGTTGAGGGAATCAGGGCGGAAACCATAACAGAGCCAGGGGAAATAATTTTAATAGCTGACAGATAGGTTTAAGTCACAGGACCCAGACCTGCCAGAGTGACAAACTCAGGTAGGGGAGGAGGAAAGTTTTCTTCAAGCCTATAACAAAAATAGTCAGGAATCCCCAGGAAGAATGCATATCTTCAAAGAGGATAGCTAGCATAACATAAAGCAATCGGGAATCCCCAGGTAGAAGGCATATCTTCAAAGCATTGGCCTGGCACCAAAAGGCTCCAGCCAGCTCTTCTCCTCAGGCATACAAAAAAGGTATAAAAACAGAAACTTTTGCCTTAGCTAGGGGGGCATCCCAATTTCGGGTATCCCCTGTCACTTCGAGAGCTGCAACTCTTACCGCTCTAGTCCGTGCCTCCATTCTTCGGTTCCGGGAGACCACGATCCCGGCGCACACTAGCACACACATCAAAAATCCTGCTTCAGCAATACCATTGCCTAATGCTGTGTCTTTTATGCAAAATATTCAAACTTTGAGCATACTCCAATACTTATGGTATGCCTGATCATATAAACGTTTATTTGCACAATTTGTTCAAATGTTTAAATATGAAATCTAAAGTATAACCTGTATTCAAAGATTTACACTAAAAATGCAGCTTATGGACAGCTTTTCACTTCTTTCCTACCTGGGTATTTGGGATGACATTCAAATTGTGGCATGGCTATGTAAGTCTAAAATTGGCTTTAGTGACTTCCTTCTTCAGGTACTTTTCCACTCAAACCAAAATGCTTATCTTATTCCTTGCTAGCCAACAATAATAAATAACTGAATCAATTTATTTAATTTCAGTATTTATCTCAAAATTCTTCATAAATGAAAGGACTGAATGATGGAACAGTGAAAGGTGGCAGTGGACAGTCTTATGTGCAAATTGTACTGAAATCACCAGATTTCTCTAATCTATTGTATTTCTCAGCTCGTCTCCAGAATTTCTCCAGAGCTCTCACTCACTCCCTTCTAAGTTTCTGATACACACATTTGCATGGCCGCTCACCTACTCATAATCCTTCATCTTAATAGGTTTTCAAAGGACTATCAGTTAATTATTAGTAAAATAACTGAGCCATAAATGACTATAGAAAAATATGTAAAATCACAATTTAGCTTTAAAAGTTACCAGTCACAATTTTCTTATGCATGTAGGTAGATAGATAGAGATGAGCAGCAGGAGAAATTTAGCCCTGGTTAGAAAGTCCCTTGCTGTAGCTCCTACTTGGGTCAAGACCCCTGGCAGCTGCCCAGGAGGACTCCAGCCTTACACATACCTCTAAAATCAAAGAGATATGTCATTAGAAGTCAGAGAAGAGGGGAGACACAGCCTGTTTGTCAGGATCATCAGTACCTTACTAGCCCAACAGGATTCCAGGTTTTCACACACCCCGATAGGGTATGTTTATATATCCCCCCGAATCAAGGAGATGTGTTCACCCAAGCCCCTAAGTCAAAGGATGTGCTTTTCTCAAGCCCCTTAATTAAAGAAATGCATTGCTAAGTGCCACAAGACCGGGCACCTCAGAGGGGAGAAAGAGAGATAAGAGAACAGAGGGGGGGAGGCAGTTCTATCCACAGAAATAAAAGCACACAGTGTGAGGCGTGGCTGCTTCCCTCTCTTGGGTCAGCCAGCTCTAGGTCTCAGAGTGTACTCTGTTTTACTAACAAGCTTCTGCTGTTCATGGTGCACAAATTTGTCTCTTGATTGAAGTCTTTCCTTCAAGAAGAAGAGCCGCGATGTTTAACATCATTTTCCCGGTAACATGTTGGTACATAAAGTTTTCTTATAAAGGGCTTCCCTAAGCCTGGAGTGTGTGTGGTTAACAAGGGGAGGCCTAGCTGTGCAGAACCATTTGGATTCCTTTAAGTAACCACAATCATTACCACCAAATACAATGTTTACTGAAAGTTGGGCTGGACAGCAATTGTACAATCTGATCTGGCAAACACACAGAAATTGCACTCCAGGTTACATATTAAGGCACTAATTACCCAAATGAAACTCCAGGGGCACCTTGGGTAAGATGCCATACAGTGAATTAAGGAAGAAAATCAGTAACAAATGCAGAAACCGGCTAAACACAAAGCGAAAGAATGCATGGGGACCATTTCCTGCAGAGTCCAGGTGGCCTTAGTAACAGAATATGCAAAACTACAACAGAAATGCAAAAGTAAACATGATTCTCCAAATAACAAAGGGACACATCTCAATTTTAAATTACAAAAATGACTTTATTTAAGTTATTTTCTGTCTCTATATACTACATAGCCAAATAACATTAAGACATTTTATCATGAATTTGCACGATCACAAATCAACTTTCAAGCATTTTCTTGACAGTCTTAGAGGTTTTGCCAGCATTTGACACAATCTGAACACAACAGACAAGAGAGAAAACAAGTGGCAGAAAGAAAACTGAGTGAGCACATCAGGCCTTGAGTTTCAAACTCAGTAAAAATATTCATGAAAGAGGCAAAATCAGGTGGGAGAAGGAACAGTATTTAGCAGAAAGCAAATTTATACCACATTAAAACCATGCATAGGAACTGTAATTTCATATGGCCAAGAAATTAAGTTGTTCAAAGTTACATAAGCCTTCAGGGTCTTCTGATAAAAAAAAAAAATTTCTCGAGGCAGGAGGAGACCCTCTTACCTTTCCTCAAAATGAACTTAAGGATGTTACCTGTATCCGTGAATGGCTTGGGAAGATGGAGGAAGAGTGGATCCCTAGTTTGGAAGGCTGGTATGAAATTGTATTAGAAGTATGTCACTGAGTCATAAAGCTGAAAAATCAGTGGCAGGTCTGGTCAAGATGGTCCAGGTTTTCTTCTAATGTGTTTTCTGAATAGACAAGGAAAGATGAGAAAATCTTACAGACCCTTGAGGCCCCCCTTACTAATAACTGTGCTGTTTTGCTACCTTAAGTGTGGAACCCTGCCCTGAGTTATTGAGATTCTACCCAAATGTGAAATGCCTGAATAGCATTATCACATTCCTGATTAATAGGAGAATGTGAATTGAATCTTTAGTCTCTAAACACAAATTGAAATTATATTGAAAATTTATCTTATCTACTTACTACTAAGCACTGACAGTTTTCATAAAGATGGATTGATCATGAATGTTTGCTGTTTAAATAAATATATCATTACTATTGATCAGGTATTCGGTATAAAATTAGAGTAAAAGAAACTATTTGAAAATGGACTTTTCTTAGAGTAGAAATAGGAAAATAAATAACAGCAAAACTCTTGGGGGAAATGGCAACAAGAAATATAAAGATTTTGTCTCCTCTTAATATCAGAAATTCTAAGATAACATATTGCAAGAATTTGAACTTTCCACATCCCAAATAACCCAAGAAAGGTTCCAGGTTGTTTAAGTCCCTCTCTACAAAGATGGCTTGAAAAACAGATAAGGAGGCACCCCTACATAAACAAAATACTCATAGCAGGCATATTTTCCACGCCTTTCTGAAAAAGCAGGATGCCTCGTAAATTGTTAGAACTCATTACAATAGCTATATGCGACATGTAATGGCAGGAAAAAAGGTGGGTGAACAATAAGAAAACTTTACAATTGCAAATAACAGGTTTCACTGTACAAAAAACTTTATGTTAAACATGTTGTATTAACAAATCAAAATGAAAACACATAACTAGTTTTCTGAGGTGTGATCTTCTTAGGTGAGTTCCATTGGGATATACTTATATGCTCTGTTTCAACCAGACCAGAAGCCAAATTGTTCTATACTCAGGCATTAAAACTGACCAAAAAGCGTACCAGTTATGGGCTTCAAGCAGCCACAGGAGTTATGAGTACATATGGTGTTTTTATATTTACATAAGCAGTTTCTCATGAATCCTATAGAGTTTGGAGAAATAGAGCTAGCCGTTCTTTTTTTTAGCAAGAGCACTTGTAAATTACGGAAAGGGATTAGGTAAATAACCCTTTTATATGGAGTTGATCTGTTAAAGGACTTTAGAAAAGTCAGCAGTTCATTTACCTGAGTTTCCCATTTAAAGGCTAAATAGTAATTGAATGCTTTTTACTTAAGAATGTGAGCAAAAATCTACAATATTAAAAAGGGCCAGAGTCAGAAAATTTAGACTCAAAATCAAGTTTGAGAATTTTTATAAAGTCTAATAGAAATATCTATGAATTTTCCTTTTTTGTTAAAACATAGTCATCAAACTGTACTGATTTTATTGGATGTTATTTAGAACGTAGGTTAAGGGGCAGCCTGTGAAATCATTAAGAAAGCAAATCAAATTCTTTTAGAATTTTGAGAAAACCATTACAAGTGATAAAAACTAATTATTAGAGACTTCACTTATGAACCCACATGAGATTATGAGTTAACACCAGATAAAGACTTCAGCATAAATATGATTTTAACCTGAATAGATCCCTTTTGAAGGGTGATATAGAAAATAACTATAAATTTTATACAGAAAAATAGTGCACCCAGTGTTTTGCCAGTAGTTATCTCAGTTTACCTTTTAACAGGGTATTTTTGTCATGCTTAGCTATGGACAATCTTCTAGGTTTTTTGTTTGGTTGTTTGTTTCAAACCGATAGGGCTATGTTTCCAAATACAACACACTGTTCAGAATCAGGACCCTAACAATAACCTGGAGTTGGATATTTTATCCTACAAGATGTATAATCATGTTACTATTTTAAACATGTTTGAATTCCAGATCAGAATAAATTGCTATACAAAATCACCATTCTAATATTTAAACAGAGAGCAGAAATAGTGAAGCACTTTGGTCTACATTAGGTTAGATTATTAAATAAATGAAAAGCATCTCTTTCCCAAACCCTTCACTCCATGATGCCCTATAACATTTAAAACACAACTGAGGTACTCTCTGTTACTTAGCATCTCTGCTAAGTAGTTCCTTTAGGTGTGTCCCATATACGACTCAAAGTAGCACAGAGCAAAGTCACCAGGATCAAGGATTCCATTTTAAAAGCAGCATTTTGAAACCCCAAATCATCTTCCTACCTTCTCTCATTGTTCAGTCATAGAAATTTCTTAAATGAGGCTACGGCTTGCAAAATGGTCAATGTAATTTGGTAAATAAAACAAAATTCCTCGATCAGTAGCACTAGTCCTAGACTGAGGGCACAAATAGTGTTTTCATTTTCCTGTTCCAGACAGTTTAATTGTTAGGGAAAAATTTTTGCCCAAGACCCCTATCATGTCGAATTTTTAAGTAGAAAGATAAATAAAAGTTCTGCTGACCATCAGGCAAAAATTATTGCTAAGTGACATCCACTTAGCAATTTATTCACACTTAAAAAAAAGTAACAGAACCATTTTACATGAGATACTCATTGTAAACCAAAAAGAGCAGATAGAGTTCCTGTGCTTGCATCACTAGTGATCGCAGCAAGGGCAGACTTGAGGGAAATTGATTAATATATTTATATATTTTGTGCAACAGGCAGAATTTGAGTAGATTCCACTGCTACACTGTCCGGAGGCACCAGTGGGCCTGGCTGGCATGCACCAGCCCTTGAACAGAGTGCTTTAGTAGTGAAATGTTTTTCCATCTAATGTATCTACCTATCAAGATATCAAAGATGATTAAATTACTCAAAACCAGGCTTCTAATTCTGTGACTTTTAAATGCAATTACCTATTTTAATTAAAATAAATCAAGCTTCTCTAAGGTTGTCCACCAGTACTACATAGCTCTATGGAGATTGAAAGGGAGGGAAACCTCTGTATTTAATTTTAAAATATTTTTAAAGGTTGGTAAAAATGGAAATCAATTAAATTATAAATGAGCAATTCAAGCATGTCAACTATGGAAGATTATTGTCTTTATTCACTGACAAAATCCTTGTTTAAGGATAACTTTAACTGTCAGGTATATGAAATAATTTAGGGTTCCGTTGGAGGTGGGGGAAAATTTAAAATAAATAGTCTGTGACAATGCACTTATGTGAATTTAAACTCCAGAGAGAGTTTTCTATAGAATGAAGGGCTTGGCCAATGGAGAAGGCAGCTGGTATTAAAAGAACTCGCAGATTCCTTGGTATACACACAATGACAACAAAAACAAGGAACTGCACAGGTGTAAACAAGCTAAAAATGACCTTGGCAAAATATCTTCATCTATTTAAAAATACCAAAAAAGCATGCAACTTAAAATCCCCTCCCTTTCACCAGAATGAACTAAAAAATAAAATAAAACAACAAAAACAAAGCAAAAACATATGGAACCATCTGTTTCTGTTAGAAGAAAACAATAATAGGTACATTAGGTTCCAGGACAAATAAAGTTTTAAAATATTAATATTGAAAAAATACAATGAAATTTTTATTAAAAAATACATACTCCTTACTCAGTTTTTGTGTAAATTTTGTTTCATGTGAGAAGAAAAAACAAACAAACATAAAATAGGAAAGGCATTAAGACTACCTAATTATTTATGCTGTATTTGGTAGAAGCATGTTTCAGTCAAACTTTAAACAAAAATAAGTTATTCTGTTTTCATTTGCTCCCGGATATCAGAAGGCAGAGTTTCAAACAGAGCATCTTCCACAACCAAACCAGTTCTCTTCAGAGCGCGACAGTCACCCAGTTCCGGAGGGAGGATTTCAAAGTGATTGCCTTTAACATCTAAGTAGGAAAGAAATAGTAAATTTCCAATTTTCGGTGAAAGTATTGATAGGCTGTTTTTCCCAATCTTCAGAGTTTTAAGTTTCTTGCAGAAGTAGAGTTCGTCTGGAAGGCTCTCCACTTTGTTGCAAGTGATGGAAAAATACTGTAAACTTTGTAGAACTCCGATTTCAGGTGGGATAAATCGAATGTCATTGTAGGATAAGTCTAAGTATCGGATTTTGTTGCATAGGAAGAGGTGGGAAGGCAGCACCTCTATTTTATTGTGACTAAAGGACAGACGCTCCAGGCTGGTGAGTTTCTTTATATGCTCTGGGATATAGGTGATGCTGTTATGCCACAGTTTTAGCACGGTCAACTTTCTCAAGTGTTGGAAGCTAACGATTTCTTCTATAGATTTCAGGTTATTTTCCTTGAGGTCCAATTCCTGGAGGCTGAGCAAGCTGAACACGGCATGAGGAATGCGCTCCAGGTCGCAGTGGACAAGCTCCAGTTCTGTCAGATTGGTCATCTTCTTTAAATTGTTGAGCATCACCAGCTTGGTGCCATCGTTATGGATGCACATCTTCTGGAGATGGCTGGACACGTCAACGACTGCCTGAGGGATTTTGGAAACGTTGCTTTTAATAGAGAGAATTTTAAGGCTCTTGAGATCCCGCAGAGACTCAAGGGTGACATTTTTGGAAATATCATGACTTAGAGAGCCAACCAGGTAGAGCTCTTCCAGATTCCGGAGTCCGTACATCCAAGGGGGCAGCTCCCTCATATCATCAAACTTGACGCTCAAGACTTTGAGGTTCTCCTTCAGGAAAGAGAGTGCCGCGCTGTGGATTTTGACTGAGCACTGGTGTAGGGAGAGCTCTTGGAGATTGTCTAGCTGCGCAATGGTGGCTGGTATCATTACGTTCTTAATGATCTCAAGTTTTAGAGACTGCAGCTCGGTGATTTCAAAAACAGTGTCTGGAAGGCCAGAGAGCATGATGAGAGGCAACTCCAGCCGGTTATGGGCATTCGTCTGTAGCTTCTGCCTCAGTTTATCGGGAGTCCACTCGTTATTTAAGTTCAGCTGCTTTAATTTGTTTTCGCTCACTTCAGACAAGAACACCGCGAATCTCTTGGAATACAGAGGGTCATACTGATCTATCATATGAAGCATAAAAGCAAAGTCATTTTTCACGTCCGGAATATCATCAATTCCAGTCTCCTGCCGGACATACTCAAAGGAGTACTCCCTTAGAGAGCGGTAGAACAGCCAGTATAAGGTGTAAAGGCACGTCAAGCCGTAGATACTTACAAAGCACAGGTAGCAGAAGGAGAGTTTTGAGAACAAATGTGCCATGGTATGATTGCAAGAAAAGTTTTTATATCCAGTCATGTCCTGAATATCAACATTACAGTCCACTGTAAACTGGACTTTGGAAACCAGGGCGCTGTTATACGCAATGATGATTAGGAATTTTATAACCTTAAGTACAGTCTGGCGAACATACATCGCATACAGTATGTCCCCTTCTTCTACATGCAGCCTGAACTTCTTCACCTTCTCAAATAAAGCCTTCGCTTGCTCTCCTTCCTTCTTATCCAGAGCCCCTGCAGTGGACTTGTCAACCACAAACTTCTCAGGAATTGACTTTAACGACTGAGAGTTGACCAGGCTGCCTTCTGGACCAGACTGGACGGTGTTGGACCTGCTCATGTTGTTCTTCCTGTTGTCCTTCTCTTCTGAGTCCTCCCCCGACACTTCCGATAAAGCCCGTGTGGTCCAGGGAGAGTCAAAACACTTCCCCAGGATGGAGATGAAATGTTCTATTTTGGAGCTGGAGCCAGGGAATTTGAACCAAAAATTGCTGCAGAGCATGAAGACCAGGGTATGGATGAGGACAAGGTAAGGGAAATACTTGGCATACCAGTGGAGGGCTCGCTCATAACACATCTGGTTTATAAAACTGTACTGCTGAAGGTCCAGGTCTGTCTTCAGGCCTTTCATTTCCACGGTGACGGGGCTGGTCGCAGATGGTTTAGGTGGAGGCAGGGGGGTGGTCCCGGCAACTGCTTGCGAGACATTCGAAACGGAAGAGTGGTTCTGAGAAGGCTGAACTCTTTTCGGGAGGCAAATTATCTTGTCTTGCATGACCTGAAACACAGAAATAATATTTTCAAATTATATTATTCAAAGAGCTTTCATAATAGCATTAGTGCAAAGAAAGCAGCAATCACATCCAATAAATGTCCATTTCCTTTGTCTGGAGAATACAATGTTCAATTCCAGCACCAAGATTTTACTCATAGACCACATGTTGGAAAAATAAAATATGACTTTGTTATTCATGTTTAAGTTATGATAGAAAACAGCAGTTCTGTTAAGACATAGAATAATTCACAAAATAAATATTTAAAAAAGTCATGCATTTAAAAAATTTTTCCCATTTTTTCTCTCTCTGGAGCCTGGGAGAATCAGTCATTGGTCTGGAAAGTACATCCCTTTATCGGGCTCAGTCTTGGACTGGATGGCTCCCAAGATTATATTAGCTTGAGAAGTAAAAGGACTGGGAGGAGGAAATCTGGAAGAAATTCCTGTCTTTATCATTTCCCCTTTTCTTTCTACCCATATCCTGGACTACACGCATAGATGAATGTGAATGGCTTTAATATAATGGGAATTTACTAAGCTTTTATAAAAACTATTTCTTCAGAGAGAGGTGAAAGAATACAGAAGTGTTCAATAGTAAAATAATTATGTTTACACTTGCTAGCTTTTTACATAAAATTTTACATTGAGAACTTCTATCCCTCTACCAATACTTCAATTTGCTGAAAAGAATATTAAGCTGTACAAATGTCCAACAGTCTCATAAGATTGCAATTTTGGTAAAAGAGAATGCATCCTTTTGAAGATTAGGTAGTATGAGGCAGAATATCCCTTAAATCATCCCGTAGGAATCATCCCCAGGAAGAAGTACATGTAAGTGGAATTCTTTGAACAATAAGTAAACAGTTCAGAGGAGGAATAAAAACCAAGGAATTGACAGCAATAAGATGATGGAATTAATAATGTAGGGGAAGTCTATTTGTATCTTAAAATATCAAATGGCTGGAAATGCCTCGTGTTTAGTGATTTTCCAACCACAAAATGTTTAGTGATTTTGTAACAGCAAAGCCCTTTAAATTGATTATAGAAGTAAAAACTGAATCCATTGCAAAGTGGACTGCTGTGGCCACAAGCTGGTGACATGGGAGATATAGCCCACCAGACAGAAGTAAGTACAAGGTTTGACAATATGTCTTGGGAGTCAATTCTACCATGGCAACCCCAGGAACAGAAAATAGTAAAAGAAAGCCTACACAAACGCCAGACTATTTTGCAGGAATATAAAAGAGAAACAAGTAAAGTCATTGTTCGTGTCATGTTCTAGAAGTTTTTCCAATCGTGGTCCATTAAACGCTTCGACAATCTGTGAAGTAGGCAGAAGGTGGGGGCTTGAGACCAGCAGGGAAAGGAGTGCTTCCCTGAGCACCTTCTCCAAGAGTGACACCTTGGAGCTGATATGACATTATTAGTGTTGTTGTTAAAATACAGAAGAACCAGTGCAAAATCAAGATCACTTAGAAGGTAAAAAGGCAGGCATCTTCTTAAGATGCTAAATCCTGGCCAAGCAACCAGGTGGGCCCATTACTGTCCCAGTGGTGGAAGATGCCTGGATGGCTGGAGCTTGGCTGGAGAGGTTTCAGGTTATGCACGGCACCAGGGTGCCCAGCTAAGGGGCAAGCATGGGCAGAAATCCTGCTTGGCTCCCCTTTCTCAGCTGTGTGCCCTTGGGCTATGGCCACACAGCGGGGATGCCTTTTTATATTCCGCACAAAGGCACCTGATTGGCTAGCATCTGTCAGGCTAGGGAGACGGGCCATATTCTCCCTATTCTACAGAAGAAGAAACATATCAAAGTTCGAACAGTTAAGCTAAGTTGCTTGCCCAAAGTCACACAGCTAGAAAATGACAGAACAGGAATTTAAACCTATCTTGTTTACAGCATAGTGTTCTTGCACCACTCCACGCTTTCTCCTCACTTCACCAAGTTTCTGCTAGGATGCCTTCATAGAGAACGGCTCAGTGTAGGAGGGCAATACACAGACGATCTCCAGGAGTTCCTTTCAGCCTTCTGACGCCATTATTTCTCTTTCAACCTTCACGAAAATATCATTTTAAAAATGTGCCTACAGGCCAGTCAAGTGGTGTGATGGTTAAGAGCTGGCTTGGGACACCAGAGGGCCCCGGTTCGGATCCCACATATGAG